GGGGGTTTGGTGCAATTTACCCCGATGTTGATAATTAATGGTGAGCTCAAGTTATAATATTTAATAATGGGTGCTAATATAGACTTATCATTTCATTATATATATATATATATATATATATTTTTTTTTGTACAGGACTTTTCAGTTTCCGGATTCACAGGGGAACCGACTAATCCAGAATCGAGCCGGGTAGGACTACAAGGGCGTCAAAGCTCTCCCTCAAGAGTTTTAACACTGCTGCATTCCTAGGGTTCGAACACGAAACCACTGATTAAGTTGAAAGAGAACCAAGTCATCTCATCCTAGCGCTCTTGGGTCATTTCATTTTATATTTTAGTTGCACGGATGAGAATATAATTGATTGTTAAAAATAATTTAGAGCTCACAAAGAAAATATAATTATTTATTTATTTTTGCTATTACTTATTTTATGCATGATACTATATCTATTTTCTTATTAATTTGGGAACTCCGATTTGATTATATATTGGCTTAAAATTGAGACATAGATTTATAATAATCAAAACTAAATGTCCAAGACTGGTCCCAAATCAAGATTAAATTCGCTCTTTTTTTTTAATTATTATTATTATCTATGTGTTTTGGTCCTTTGGAGAATTTAAAAATTCTATTTTGCAAACTTAACTCATGAGTACTTCTTCCAATATAATATTGAATAGGGGCAGAATTTCCAATAAATATCATTTTTTTCATATATTGAAAGAGAGTGTGATTCAATTATTTATAATTTGGATTTAATAAAATTACATTTTATACTTTGAACTTTGAAGAATTAACATTGATACATCAATACAAATATTCTCAGTTTTACATGAGAAATGTTTGACTAAATGGTAAGAAATAATAATAGATTTAATAACTTTTTTTATTTAACTTTCTCAAAATTTGTTAACGGCATCTCATATTCATTTGGAATTTTAAATTATATTGGTAGATGTCATACCTTTTTTTTCATTTTTATTTTTAAAATATAATATTTTATTATTAAGATATATATATATATATATATATATATATATATATATGTATCGGTGTAAACGACATAATCGTTAGCTTTGGGTCATACTTTGTAAACAAAAATGTATATGTATATGATAAAATGTCATACTTTTGCTTATATTATTTTCGTAATATGACATTCTAGTGAGAATATGAATGTTTGTGTTGGAATATCACTTGTGAGTGTCCCACATTGATTTTACAGGGAAAATGAGTCTAGTATATAAGCCTAGTGGGCTACTCCTCCCATCACCAATTGGTTTTGGGATGGAACCTCACTAAGGTGCATCTAGGCTCACCCTCTTATGGTGCGCCTTCATCTGGTGAGACCGCACTCTCTTCCTCCGTTTCTAATATGGTATCAGAGCGGGCCTGTCCTAGGACCTGCAATGACTCTCTCTCTACCCGTACTAAGGTGCATCTAGGCTCACCCTCTTATGGTGCGCCTTCATCTGGTGGGACTGCACTCTCTTCCTCCGTTTCTAATAGTTTGTGAGAAGCGTATGTCTATCCTACTACTTACAGGGGAATTTTTATTGGAAGGCCTAACTTTTAGTATATGTATTAATTTAAGGCCTGAATTTTATACTTTTTCAAAAGAAGACTTACATTTTAGATTATTCTCACTTTAAGGCTTACTTTTTAGTTAACTTTTCATTACAAGGCCCAACTAACTTTACTTTTTCATATAAATATGTAAAACAACTATTATGTGAATAAAAATATTATTATTATTATTATTATTATTATTATTATTGTTATTTTGTAATTTATATTTTACATACTATAATAGAAAAAATAATAAATATCTTTAGTAAAATTATATTAATAATATATAAAACTATATAAATTACAATGATGCGAAACTATATAAATTATATTTATGCAAAAAGTTTCACAATGAAAAATTACATCATTGAAAATAGATGTTTATATAGTTTCATTTTTTATTAATCTAATTTTACTATCTTAGTTTCTCATCATTGTAATTCCGATGTTTTATCATTGTAATTTTATATAGTTTCATTTTTTTATTAATATAATTTTACTAAAGATATTTATTATTTTTTATTATGAGTATGTAAAATAAATAATAATAATAATAATAATAATAATAATAATAATAATAATAATAATAAAATTTTTATTCACATAATAATTGTTTACATATTTATATGAAAAGGTAAAGTTAGTTGGCCTTATAATGAAAAGTTAACTAAAAAAGTAAGCCTTAAAGTGAGAATAACCTAAAATGTAAGTCTTCAATTGATAAAGTAAAAAATTCAAGCCTTATATTAATACATATAGTAAAAGTTAGGCCTTCCAATAAAATTTCCACACTACTTACATCACCCTAACAATTTATCTATCTATTAATAAATAAATGTGTATAAATTTATGAAAAAAATGTATATAATTTTATATATGAAAAGTAGTTAGACCTCTATATCATGAAAAAAAAAAAAAAAAAAAACCATTAGGCAGCCTAATATTGGACGGGCTTGCCTAATTATTAGGGTTCGAGCCGTCGTACATTGTAATATAAAAACGTATTCATATTATGAAAATTAGTGAGAATTTCGTGCGTTGCAAGTGAGTTTCATATCCTAGAACATTTTTTTAAAATTTTATTTTGACAATGTATTAGCTCGCTTATTCGTATATGTTAATATAAATAATATTTTAACATACATACTTTTTTTGTAATATAAAAAAATAATAATTTACATATTTTGGTTCATCATAATACTCAAATATTATTTTATGTAAAAATTCATTGTCGAATAATGCCATTATTATTATGTTTGATCGGTATGTCATTACTATTTATAACATTTATAGAAATAATATTTTTTCTTATATAATGATAAATATTTCATGTATATTAATATTATTTATTGATGTAATTAATTTAAAAATATATATGAGCAAATTTAATGTTTGTTAGGAAGGTGATTATATGTAAATTAAAAGATAAAATGATATGTATCAAAAAAAAAATGTTGCTTATGATATTTTCTTGTAAATATTTGAATGAATTTAAAAATTCAAATTACAAATCAACCGCCGGTTTTCTCAAAAAGTATCAAAAAGAAGTTACCAATTGTCGTAAAATTTAAATTATTATGCGGGATTTTACTTTCTACTTAAAGTAAATCTATATTGCTATTTTATAGCAATAGATGTTATGCTTGTTGAATATGTCTAATTCTCTCCTAATGTTTTTGTTAAAGACATTTCAAATTAAAGATTGATTGTGAACATTTTGTCCTATAAGAAATTTCCTCATAATATTGGCTTGCCCAAAATGACTGGCACTGCTTAAGAATACCTAAAAAAGTATGGAGTATATTTTTCTTTGGTCAATGTCTGTAGCAATTAAAGTAATACATATTATTTTTTTATTATTTGAAAAAAAAAAACATAATTTATCACTTCTTCCTTTCTTATTTCAAGCCTTTCTCGAGCCGAGTTGCACTCATTAATAAAATTGGCTCAATTGAGCTGGATTAGGATCGTTAATAAAATGAATCAATAAACGAGTTCGAGTTCGGTTTGGGAGCCTCAATTGGTCCATCTTAATCAGTTTTAACGAGCCAAACTATGAATAATTACATAGAAAATTCTATTTTCGAGCTTTAATTAGCCAAGCTCACGAGCAACTTTAACTTATACTACGAAATTGCCATCGGTCAATTAAATTCAGTGGTAAGTATACTATAATGACCAAAACTATGACATTAATTTGGACTTATATCACTTCTTGCCGCCTAACTTATGTTAGCCAAAAGACTAGACTTGGTCTTTCGAAAACTAAAAGAAAAGAAATTAGGCACGTAAATGTGGAAATTAATTTCATTTAATAATAGTCAGGCTGAAAAAGAAAAATGAAACACATTCACTTAATTTAACTTGTAGATAAATGAGACGTGTTTATGATGATGTTATAATTATATATTTATCTGATAAAAAATGCTTGTAAAATAAGAAATATTTATCCAATTTTTTTTTTTTTTAAAGAGTCGGTTCCTCAAAATTAGTCACAAAACTTGCCAAATAAATATATATATTAGTAGCTAATAGTATTTAATAAAACTTATTTAATTTACTTATGTGGCAATTTAACTTTTTTTCCTCTAAAAACCATTAATTTTGATGTATTTAATTTTTTATTTAATTATTAAATAATCAACACTAATCACTTTAAAATTACAAAAATTATTTTAAATTTTTTATTAATGACAGTTGACCATATAAGGTGTTGACCGTATAATGTGATTAGATGTTATTATTATGGTTACATTTAAATTGTTTTTTCTTAAAATAAAAAACGTATTTGAAATTACTAAATAAATAATAAATAATTCACGAAAAAAAAAGACGTACAAAAATATACATTACATCCAATCAGATAAACGCAATTTAAAAAAATAATAATTCCAACTCCTTTAATTGTAATTTGACCAGCAAAAAGATGAAAAAAAAAATAATTAATTATTATATACAAATAACTCACAATACTTTATTTATATCTGTGCAAATGCACAGGGTTGAATACCAGTTCTAAATAATATGACGAATTGACACGTTTAAGCAACCACATGGTCCACACACAAAAATTTAAGTTTTCCTCACAAGTTAGTAATAGATCGCGATATTCAAACTAAA